GCCAGGAAAGCCCTTCCTCGGTGAAGCCTCAGCCCACCGAATGAATGACAACCTCAGCTGCACCCCCGCATCAGCCCGCGGCTGCCTCCATTATAGCCCATAATACCCACTACCTTCTGCCCCACTTTGCAGGCTCCCGAAGGCAAAGAGCTGGGCTGATTTACCACAGGGCCCCCGGCTCCCAGCCCAGGGTGAGGCCCTGACAAAGGCCTCACAATGAAAGAACCAGCAGGCTCGAACAGAACAGAGCTCAATCCTGGCCCATCCTTGGCCCCCCAAATTCCTATGCCTGCTCCCCTGTGCCAGGGCTATTCCGGGAAGCCTTTTGCACGCCCCCTCAACACACATACCTCGTTCCAGGATCCCAGGGGGCTTTTAAGACCGTGGTCTCCCTCGCTTCCCCGTGTCTGGGCCCAGCCGAGGCAGAGCCTTCTCTGGGCTGTTGTCGGTGAGTCACGGGCAGACTGTAAACAACTTGACAGCACTGGCTGTACCACCAAGGCCCTGGCACCCGTCCTAGCCACGCAGGGGGGACTAAAAAAGACATGGCTGGCTCCCATGCACGCACTACGGAAAGGAGAAGGTGGAATAGAAACAGGAGAGGCCTCCAGACTGGCATCTCAGCACGTGCACCGCAGTCTGCAGGGACGAAACGGAACCTGGGGGGTGGGTGGGTGTGTCAGTCTGGAAGGGACCTGCAGCTGAGAGGTGGGGTACCTGCTGGGTGTTGAAAAGCCGCCAATATTTATTGAGCATCTACTATGAAACAGGCACAGCTGTAGGTCATCGCAGTGATCAAAATCAGATGCTCTGCTGCTGAGAATAGCAAAAGCAGGGCAGGGGAAGAGAGGGGGCGGGGCGGTGGCCTTATTCATCCTTTGTAAGATACAAATAGAAGGATGTATCTTAGAAGATAGAGATGTAGGGCCTGCCCCGTGGCGCAGCGGTTATGTGCACACGTTCCGCTTTGGCGGCCCGGGGTTTGCCGGTTCGGATCCCGGGTGCGGACATGGCACCGCTTGGCACGCTATGCTGTGGTGTGGGCATCCCACGTATAAAGTGGAGGAAGATGGGCACGGATGTTAGCTCACGGCCAGTCTTCCTCAGCAAAAAGAGGAGGATTGGCAGCAGATGTTAGCTCAGGGCTAATCTTCCTCAAAAAAAAAAAAAAAAAAAGAAGATAGAGATGTAGAAGGATGGGGTCTTGGAGAGCTTTCTAGCCCCTTGACAGATGGGGAAACTGAGGCCCAGGGGGTTGAGGATTTTCCTGAGGTGGCACAGGGAGACAGGGCAGAGGCAGGCCCCAAAGTCTTGGGGCCTCGTTTCCATGGTGACGGGGGGAGGGGGTGCTGGACGCTGGATGAGGGCAGGACCCCTCTCCTCTGCCCTTGGGGGCGGGGTGCCTGGGCACCCAGCAGCAGCAGAGGCTCAAGGTAACACCAGGCTCTGAGGTCACTTGGCGGGGTGTTCCCACGGCCAGACTCCTCCGCTCGCCACCTATAAATGGGCAGCTCGGACTCCATGCTCCTAAATGGCCTCTCCAAGATCAAAAAAGATGCTTCTTTATTCCTCCGGGGAGCGGCCAGCTTGGACTGCCAGGTTGGTCTGGCGTCTGAAAACTCTCCCACCGACACCGCAGCCTGGGGCCCGGAGCTCTAGGAACACTGAGTGACTCCCTTTCCCCGGCTTCATCAGCCTCGGCCGCCGCAGGGGCAGACCGCGAGCACTGACATTTCGGAGGCTCGAGCTCTGCTAAGTGAACATTAGACACAGGTTACTTAGCCTCTGAGATCCAGGCTGCCTCCTCCACGCTGTTGATAAGCTTTTACGGTCCCCTCCCTCCGGTGCCGCGTCCCCGGAGCCTGGGGCAGCTTGGAGGCTGCCAGGTGGGAGGGCGGGGCAGCGGATGGCACAGAGCTCTGGCTGGGAGCCGCTGTTGGGCTGTGCTACCTTGAGCACGATGATTGCCTTTTCTGGTCTCACCTGGAAATGGCTCTCCATACGTGACCCAGCTCCCCTGTCCATCGCGCCCTTCACTGATCTGCCACTGGGTGCTGTCCCAGGCTTGGGACAAAGTGACTTTTATTCTTGGGTCACTAAGCCAATCCCTCGCCCCCTAAGTCCTAACCCCTGACCCAAACTATTTGTCATTCCGGGCCCCTTGCACTTCCCAAAGCTTCCGAGGACTCCTTCTCCATTGCTACCCCTCCCTTCTCTGAGCTCCCAGTACACCTTATCCAGGCTCCCTCTGGACAGTGTCCTGGATCACTGTGCATCCAGGCCCTCCATGGGGCTGTGGCCAAGCTTTATTCACCATTGGACCGCCGGCACAGCCCTGGGACATTGTTGATCTCTACAGATGTCCATTCAGTCATTCGACAAACAGCTCTTAGGGCAAACTGTATACCCCTCTCCCTGCTGGGGATGGGATCCAGATAGTAGAGGCTAATAAGGCACAGCGCCTTTCCCTCCAAGAGCTCCTACTCTGGTGATGAGAAACACAACTACATAGCAGGTGATTAGGCCCTGGTCATGGGTGGGGAGCCATGGAGCAGTTGAAGCACACATCACTTGACCCTGGGAAAACCAGGGAAGACTTCCTGGAGGAGGCAACATCTAAAGTATAACTTGATGGATCAGTAGGAGTTAGCCAGGTGGAGGAAGGAGCCCCAGGAAGAGGGAACAGCCCAGGCAGAGGTCTGGAGCATAGAGGAAATGTGGTGTATTCTGGGAACGCTCAGTCATTGTGCTGGCCTCTTTGCTCCTAATTATTGTCTGGCTCTTTCCCACTCCCCTAATAAAACAAGAGGAGATCATTCCCCACCGTGGGGTGAGCTTCCCAAACCCCTATCCCTCTCTAAAGAGGACAGAGAACTCCCAGGAAGCTGGCCGCTTGCCCCAGGCCCCCCATCTGCCAGTCACTTGTCCGTCCGCTCTGAGCCTCAGTTGCCTCATCTGTTAAATGGGGTGGGGCTCTCAGGTCCACGTAACAAATGTTAGCAGAGACCTGAAGATGAGGAGAGCTGGCCCAGGCCTTCCCCTGCCCGGCCAGGGGGTGCAGCCTGGATTGGGACCTGGGTCTGCAGGGGTGGGATACGGGAGACCCTGGGTGCTAGCGCCCGCCGTCTGAGCCCAGGCCCTGGAGCCCTGTCTCCCATCTCAGGAGTCTTTCTTCCTGCCCCCACCCCTCAGCGACTTTGGATGGGGATAAAAAAAGAAAAGAAATGGTCCTCCCACCACCTGGCAGGCGTGCCCACGATGTGAGATGCCTTTCAGCTGAGCGTGGTCTCCACGGAGCCCTGGCTACCAGCCAGCCCTACCTGGCTTGATCTTCTGCGCACCCCCGTCCTCCGCAGGGAGGGCGAAGACATCCCTCATGGAGGGGGCAAGGGGGCTGGGGTGGGGGGAGGTGAAAGGGGAGCCCTGGGACCAGGTTGAGACAGGTCATTCTTCCCTCCCTGGTTTATAGGAAGGGGGTGGGGCAGGGGTGTGCGGTGGGCGTGGAGTCCATGACCAGCAGACACACTGAGCCTGGCTCAGTTCCCAGAAAGGGCTGGGCCCCCGTAAAGGGCTCAACGACCTTACGGACTCAGATGGGCAGAGTCGGGGGACCCTCCGAAATGGTCTCATCCAACAAATGTGAAAACTGAGGCCCAGATTGGGGCGTGGGCTTCCCCAAGGTAACACAGCAAGTTAGAGGAGAGAGACGCTGAGTCCAGTCCCACGGCTGTGACTGTGGCAAAGCCAGGCCAGGCTGCCACCCGGTCAGGGTCAAGCCTGACTCCGGCTTCTATCTCCCCACTATGTTGCAAAGCTTGGTCCAGGGGTGGGCTGGGTTCCTGTCCCACCTGCAGGGGCGCAGTGGCAGGGAGAAGAGGAATTCCTGCCTGGATCCTGTAGGGAGCCAGACTTCCAGGTCTTTTGACATCTCAGCATTGCAGAAATGCTGGAAGGAACCTTCTGGATCACCTCTGGATGAGGGAACTGAGGCCCAGGGCTGGGGGGAGACTGACCGCAAACCCAGACCCCAGTGAGTGGCCAACGCACATCTCCTGCCTCCAGTCCAGGCTCTTGCTGGTCTGTCACAGTGTAAGTGAACGGGCCGGGCTGTGGACGGCGTCTGACAGTACTGGGTTCGAATCCCTGCTCTACTGCTCCTTGGCTCTGGGACCTCGCTTCACTCCCCAGCCTCTCTGAGCCTCAGTTTCTCCATCTGTAAACTGGGGATAGCAACATTGACCACATAGGGTGTTATAAGGATTTAACACAATAACAGCAGCCCCACAAGGGTAGACTTGGCCTCTTTCACCACTGTGTTCCTAGCACCCAGAACACTGCCTGACACATGGCAGGCCCATGATGAAAGGGAACAGTTATCGTCACCCTGTGCCATGCCACTTCCGGCTTGACATCACTAGTAGACGAAGCCAGGGTAACTTCTTTAATTCCCCAGTCCCCTGAAGGGAAGCAGAGGAGTCTGGCTGTTGCAGAGAAAGGCAGCCACTATCCTAGAAAGAATGGCTGTGCATCCTTAGGCAAGTCCCAGGCCCTCTCTGTGTGGTTCCTCCTCACAGTACAGGGAGGGCATTGCTCAGCGATAACTGAAGTCTCCCAGCTCCAGAAACTGTCCCTGGACCCTGTGCCACGGCCCTGCCTGAGGGCACTGACTCTCCCCTTCTGGGGTACCCAGAGGGAGGGGCCAAGGGGCAGGACAGGACATGAGGGTTGGGAGGGGGCAGTGGCCAGTCTCCGGGAGGCTCCCGGGAGCCGTGGCTCTATTAGGCTGCCGCTTGCGGGACGCATGAGTGATCAGGGCAGCCAGGCATCAGCGCCAGCCTCCACCAGGACCAAGCCGACGGTGCATGCCGGGTAGTTCATTAAGGGGGTGTGGGGGAGGGCCAGGGCCTCGCTGAGCACGCCCCCACCCCCGCTCCAGCCTTAACACCACCTGGCACTTAGCGGCTCCCTCCCCACCCGCCCTGCCAGGCATTTGGCAATGGTAAGGAACAGTGTGGATCTCATAACAGCCTACAGAGCCCATTCTGGCCATTAGCTCTTGCTCCTCGCAGGCCCCCTGTGAGTCTTTATTGCTACCTCCAGGTTGCGGGGGGGAGGGGAATGAGCAAAGTTCTGGGAGCAAGAGGCCTCTGCTGGGCGTGGCAGAGCAGGTCCCCATGCCAGGGCCGTGAGTCGCCTCCCAGGATGCCGGCTCCCATCCCGTGGTCTTTCCATGGTGTGTTGCCAGCCAGTTGGAGGAAGGTAAGGCCCTGCCACGCCCGCCGCCCCCCCCCCCCCACTTTTAGCAGAGCCCCCTGCATCACAGCCCTGGGGGAGCGACTCGCCAGCAGGTCATTTTCTAGAGGGACCCAACGGCCCAGATCAGGACGTTTGCAAGTCCAGAAAGCTCTGGGCTCTGGAGAGAGGAAGCAACATCCTGTCCTGACCTCTTGGAGGAAACAGCCTCCAGGGAAAACAGGAAGAGCCTGGCCCAGGAGGAAGTCCTGAGGGTGGGGCCGGGGGAAGAGGTCCCAACCCAAGCCCTTCTCTCCTCTCACTGCTGGACTCTGCCAGCCATAGGCTGAGTTAGGGACTGTCCTGGGCTGCCCCGCTGGGTCTGTCCCCAGTTGGCTGCTGTCCACCTGGGAGCCATGTCAGGGCCCCCAGCTCACATGGTGGGAGATGAGCACTGGGGCTGGGGGCACAGAGTCCTCCGCCAGAGAGGGCATAGATGTGACACCAGCCCTCTTCTCCCCACTCCTTGGCGGGCAGGCGCCCAGAGCAAACTCCCTTCCCTTCATTCATGCCTTTGCTCTTCATTTACTGAGCCCTCCTCCGGGCCAGGCAACGGGTGCAACAACACAGAGTACATGCTCCTACCATGTTCCTATTTCACAGATGAGAAAACGGAGGCACGAAGGACATTAAAATCTTTGCCCAAGGTTACAGAGCAGGTGAGTTGGAGAGGAGAATTCAAACACTGGCGGCCTGACTGCACGGCCCTTGGGGTAACTGGAATGCCAAAGAAAGGAAGAGACCTTCTCCTGGAGGAAAGAGAGCATCTAAATAAAACTCACTGGAAGAGGGCGTTGACCTGGGCCCCAGGTGGGGCAGGAGGGTTCCTTACAGAGCCCTTCACACCTGCCACCCCTGCTCCTGGCGACTACTCCTCACCTTGTCCTCTCTTCGCACCCCACCCCTGCCTCCCCCACCCTCACTCTCAGCTGTTGACCTTGTTTCCCACTCCCCGAAGACAATCCAGTCTCTCAGAAGCACTTCCAGATTCGCAAGGCACATCCACCCCCACCAGCCTCTGCACCCACACGCTCTGCCTCCCTCATCCTACGAGACGTGACAACACACGCGCCCACTGCCACTCGGGCTCCGGAGCCCAGCCCTCCGCTCCACTCAAGGACATCGCTCCAGCAAGCCCTCCCGCGGGCGCTCTCTCTCCCTCCTCCGTCATCCGTCTCGCCCTCTCCACCAGATCCTTCCATCAGTGAACACACTCGCTGTTCTCCCTCCCATCCTACACAAACGTGTCCCCAGCCCACCTTCCCCACCAGCCACCATCCATTCCCTGCTCCCCTCTGCAGGGACCGCCTCAGAGTCATCTGCATCCTATGTCCTCCGTTCTCCTCCTCCTGTTTCTCTCAAACCCACCCCCATGTGCCCCTCGTCCCACCCCTCCAACAAAAGTGCCCCTGTCAGGATCTCCAATGACCTCCTCGTGGCCAAACCCAGCGGTCAATTCTCAGCTTTGCTGCCACGAGCCGTCCCAGCAGCATTTGACAGTCTGGCACTCCCCCCCACCCCGGGAAGCATCCCTTCCCCTTGGCTTCCAGGCTGGCTGTTGGCTCCCGTGGTTTTCTCCAACCACTCTGGCCGTTCCGTCTTGGTTCCCTCTGCTGCTTCTTTCTCTTCTCCCAGACCTCTCAACGTGGGGGACCCCGAGCCCAGTCTCCCGTCCTGGTCTCTCTCTGTGCTTACTCCCCAGCCATCTCACCCCCTCTCATCACTTTAGGCTCCATCTGTTTGCCCATGACTCCCAAAGCCAGTCCTCCAGCTTGGACCTCAAACGCCCAGCGGCCTCCTCGACACCTCCCCCGAGAAGAGACAGCTCCAATCGGACCTGTGCCAACCTGAGCTCCTGCTCTGCCGCAGACCACTTGCTCTCTATCTCCACGGGGGTGCCACCTCCCCCAAGGGAGCGAAAATTGGTTCTCGGGGGACAAAAACTCTTAGATATTGCAATGGTTTGTGCTCTCAAAGGACCAAAGGACATAAACATAGACACATGATAGCGGAGGTATTAAAATGTCACAGGGAGGGGGTGATTGGAGAAAAGTCTAAAAAGGCTCCTTGGGGGTGGGTGATAAAGAAAAAAAAGATTGAGCAACAGTGGCTCTAACACAAACTTTCCATTCCAATCGATGGCAATCTTGTCCTTCCACTGCTCAGGCCAAAATTCTGGGGGTGACGTCTCCTTCTCCCTTTTTTTCACAGCCCACATCCAGTCCATGAGGAAATCTCATTCGTTCTGCCTTCAAAACAGATCCAGAATCCAGCCGCTCCCCAGCACCCCCACGGCATCTACCCTGGTCTGAGCTGCCTCGTTTCTCGCCCGGATCATTGTAACAGCATCCTAACTGGTCTCCCGCCCTCGCTCCCTTGACACACAGCCAGGGCGATCCTCTTACAGTGTAAGTCAGCTTGTCTCCCTTCTCTCCACTAAACACTCCAGAAGCTTCCCATCTCCCCAGGTTCTTATGATGACCTGCCCTCCCCACTCTCCCTCACTCTCCTGACCTCCTCTGCTCTCCCTCTTTCCCTTCCTCACTCTGTTCCAGTCCCACACGCCTTCTGGCTGCTCCTGGAACCCTCCAGGTATAGTCCTACCTCAGGGCCTTTGAACTGGCTGTTCCCTATCCCGGTATACTGTTACCCAGAGAACCACAGGGCTAAATCCTTCACCTCCCTCAAGTCTTTGCTCAGACATCACCTTCTCAAGGAGCCCTGCCCTGCCCACCCCGTCTTAACGTTGCAATCCGTCCCCCGCATTCCAGATAACCCTCGCTTCTCCCTACCCTTTATTTTTCCACAAGACTCATCTTCTAACTACTGTGACATTTACATATTTCGCTTATCACTCATTGCCTTTCTCCCCCTGCTAGATGCAAGCCCCCCCAGGGGATCTTTGTTTCCATCACTACTATAGGCCTAGCATGAGAACAGCGCCTGGCCCCCAGGAGGTGTGTCTGCTCCCCCCTGGACAGCTACCCCAGTTGGATTTCTGACTTTTCACACACCAGACTCCATCACCTCTGCCCCTCTGCAGCCGCCGCTCCCTCTCTCTGAGATGCGCCCAATGCCCTCCTTTAGCGAGTGCTTCCTCACCTTCTGGACCCTCTCAAAGACCACATCAGCTCTCTGGTTAGGTCAGGAAGGGCCCTGCCTGCCAGATAAGGATTGAGGGAGCTTTTCCCCACGAGCAAGGGGGATCCACAGAAGGGCTTTGAGCTGAAGAGCGACACAGTGGGTCGTACTTGTCCTTTGATGCCCATAGGACAATGGCTGGGAGGGGAGCCCACTGGAGGCAGAGGAGGGGACCCAGGGAGAAGGCTGGTGAGAGATGAGAGGACCTGGGCCAGGGGAGTGGCTGCAGGGCAGCAGGAGGCTGAGAGGACACGAGAGATAGCCAGGAGGGGGGAAAGGCTAGGCTTTGTCACCAATTAAACATGAGGACTAAGGGAAAGATGGGAGGTAGGGACATGGCCCAGGTGTCTGATCTATGGGGGGGAGGGGTGATGAAGCGATGCACCAGCCAAGCTCAGGGAATGGGTGGGGAGCACACATCAGAGGGGGTAGGGAGGTCTACGGTAGAAGCATCTGTCCCCCCACTATAGCCTCCACCCCCTTCCACTGGGGGCATCTCGTACCCCACACTTCTTGCCATAAAAGGAGAGCCCATGGGGATTTGGAGAAGGATGGGGCTTCCCCAGGAGAACCCAGATCTTGGACCCGGGATGAAGGGGAGGGGCCCACACAGGGGGCTTTTTCAGAATCCAGGCCTGAAGCCTGTGCCCCCAAATTCACAGGGGAACTTCCGGCCGAAAAGTCCACCCTTGCCTCCCTTTCTGCATGGCCTTGTTTGACCAGAAAGACAAATAGGATGGGGAGTGGCCTTCGTGACATCACTGGGACACCTGAGCTCAGCCCAGGGTGTGGTGGGCGGGAGCGGACAGAGGGTGTCTCCCGGTCAGACTCAGCTGTCCCACAGAGCCTCTCACTGGAGCAGCCAGGGTCACTCAGGACCATCTCATCCTGCATCCTCGTGGTACGGATGGGGAAGCTGAGGCCCGGAGAGAGAACTGAGTTGTTGTAGGGGACACTTGATTTCCCAGGGGGACACTGAGGCTTCCTGGAAAGAAGGACTCACTGGTCTGATGATCACTGGTATATGTCTTTACAGCTCTTTTCTTCCTGAGAGTTCAGAGGGCTGCACATCCACGACCTCGTTCATCCACGAGACCTCCCTCTGGGATGGGGGGCAGGACCACCATGCGCAGATGTTCTGAAACTGCTCCGTCATTGCCCTCCCCTCCACCGCCTTCCTTCTTCAGTCTCTATTACGTCCCCTTTCTTCTCTCAATTTAATTCAGCAAAGGCTTAAGAGGCTCCTCCCTGGTACAAGGACTGGGCATTCAGGAAGCTTCTAGATTTCCCCAGGGCCAAAGTCATTTCCTGTCTTCTATGGTTTCAGAGCACTTTCTTCCTACCCGCGTTTATACACACACATACCGGATTGTTTCTGTATCTACAATCCTGGAGGGTGGGGCTGGGTCTTACTTAAGCTTGCATTCCCCCCCTAGTGCCTAGGCCAGGGCCTGGCATTTGGGAGTCTGGAGAAACGCTTGCCCAGGGCAAAGGTACCCCTGACTGTGCCAGTTACCCGGAGGAAGAGCCCAGAGGGGTTCTGTATACACAGCACCTGGCACATAGGAGCTACTCAATGTCTGCTAAATGGATCAAGAAAAAAACGAAGGAAGGAAGATGAGGGCAGATAGTGATGGGCCAGCCTTGCCTTTAAAGAGCTCCTGATCCATTGCATGGGTGGGGGAGGTGGGCACAGATCAGCACTGGAGAGGTGTGCAAAATACGACTGAAGTAGACAATTCCATCAGAGCAGTGTTGAGGAAGTACCGTGGGGCCACAGAGGAGTTCAGACTCACCTGGGAGAAGCAGGGACGGCTCCCTGGAAGAAGTGGCATTTGAGGTGGGCTTTGAAGGGTGGAAACACATGGCAGAAACTCAGGCACAGTTTTTAGCTGAAGGTAGGCATCAGGCAAGACAAGGAGGGCAGAGTCCTCATCCTCGGGAGGACTGTGTTTCAGGCAGAGTTTCTTGTACCTGACTCCACAGGCAGTGTGGAGCCATCGAAGGCCTTGGGGCTGGGGAGCTGGGGAGCAGCATGACCAGATCTTGTCGCAGAAAATCACAGTGAGGGAGGGCATTGGACTGGAATGAAGGAGAAGAAGGCAACAGAAGCTGCTGCTGAGGAGCAGGGTGAGAGGGTTGTGAATGTCTGACTTAGGGAGGCAGCTGCCAAGTTTGCGATGGGGGTGTGAGAGGCTCCACAGAGAAAGGGTCTGAAGGATCTGGAAACCGATTCAATGTGGGGGAGGAGCAGCAGGACGCTCAGGGGAACTGATCTGAGGCCTGGGAGCGTAAGGAGGCCTTGATAGGCACGGAGTCATCCCAGGCAGGGGCTGCTTCCAAGGAAGGTAATGAGTTCAGCCCACCTGGATGGAGATGCTTCATGAAGAGGGCAGATGCCAGCTTGGGAGGGAGGTCGGAGCCCCCGGGACAGAGTTGGGAGTTGGGCGGAAGTAAAAGCTGAGGCCGTGGGAGTGGATGAGCTCACACAGGAGAGAGTGTGGGATGAGAAAGAAGATGGCGGCTGAGGACAGAGCCTTCGGGGATGCACACATTTGAGCGGGGCGGGAGCAGGAAGAAAGGGGATCCAGGCGGAAATGGACCAGCCAGAGAGGTGGGGGGTGGTCCCTCATCTTCTCCCTCTTTTCCTCTGCTGCCCCACCTCTGCTCCACCCCCCATCTCCCATGAGCCGGGGCAGACTGGGCAGAAGAGCAGACCCTGGAGCCTGGCCAGCCTCCAAAAAGCTCCAAGATGAAAGGTAGAGAAGCCCAGTGGTTGAACGCTTGGGCTTTAGAACTCGTCAGAGCTGGGTGCGACTTCCACCTGCCCCCTCCCTCACCCTTCCTGGCTGTGTGACCTCAGGCAAGCCACACCCCCTCTGATCTGATCCTCAGCCTCCTCACCTTCCCGAGGGGATCACAATGGGGCTTCTTCATCGGGCTGCTGTGACTATTAAGTGGGATAATGCGTGTTATGCACTTGGCATTCGGGCCCGGCAAGCCCTCAGAGCTCAATAAACAGTGGCTGCTGCTCTTATGATTATTACAGGGTCGGGACTGGATTCTGGCGCTCCGTCTGGCCTTCTGGCCAGGGCCAAGGAGCCCAGCAGCCCCCAGAGCCCTGAGCGAGGAAGGGGGGCTGGCCACTTGAACTACCCCCTCTCCCGGAGTGCTGAGGCCCCTCCTGCGTCCCAAGCGCAGAGCCAGGCATCGTGGAAGCGGGGCAGTCCCAGCTTTCTCGGCGCTGATAACCCTTTCACATGCTGAGAAATGGGACCCCACCCCCACTGCGGACTTCACCTCCAGCTGGGGCTCGGGAAGGGGCCTCAGTCCCAGGGCGTGTCACGCCCCCAGGTCGGTGCACGGGTGCCTTCTCCTCCGGGGCGCGCGCTTCCTCTCCAGGACGCGGTAATTCACCAGCTCACGCGGGCTCCGCGGCGCCCCCTCCGCGCACGCGCATCCCCGCCCCAGCCCGCGCCCGGCCCGGCCCGAGATTCGGGCGCTTTGGGTGGGTCCGTCCAAGTTGGAGAGGAGGACGGCCGAGCCGGGGGCGCCCGTCGCGGGGCGGTGGCGGCCCTGAGCCAGATGCCTCGGCCCCCGCCCCGCCACGGATTCTGCAGCTGGGGTCCGTCGCAGGCCCTTCTGCGCGGCCCTGGAGGAGGAGTGCGGGGGGCGAGTGGCGCCGGCTGTGATGCGAGCTTGCGGAGCGGGCGAAGGTCTGGAGTCGGTGGGTGCCGGCTCCTGTCCCTGACGCGCCGAGGCCTGTACCCGGGATTTCTCAAAGCCTCAGTTTCCCCTTCTCAGCCTTAGGCTAAGGGATCTCATTTACTGGTCCCTGGAAACAGGGTAATGGATCCCATGGGCCGCATGCCCGTCTATGCAGGCTCATTTGGGCGGGAAGAAGAGGCATGTTCCCCCGGATCTGGGGTGCACTTACTAGTGGGCCCCATCCTACCCGGACCGGACCGGGTGGGGGCTCCCTGGGAGGAGCGGGGCATGACTGAAGCTGCTCTGTACCGGCTGGGCTCGGGTCTGGGGTCCCGCAGTTGCAGGAGGGAGCTGTCTAGCGCTAGGAGGCCCCTATTAACTAGGCCACCGCTAGAGATGGGCGGTGATGGTCGGAGCTGACCGGCTTGGGCCCCCAGGGGAGGTGGCCGCAAGGGCCAGGGCTTTGAACAAACCACAGAAGGTTTCTGCAATATCAAAAGAGCTCTTAGTCATTAATATACGGGGGGAGGGGGGCCGTGGTGAAAGGGCCTCTGCTTGGTTCCCATCAGCGGAAGATCAAAAAGCATTTGGTCAAAGAACCTTTAAATACCTTGAAAGGCAGGTGAAGCCTGTTCAGTGGGCTCCAAGAGGGATCGAAACGCTGGTCTGAGCTGCTGTCAAGCTCCAAACACAGTCTGTGTGGGAGGGGGGGAGGGCACAGAGGTAGGAGGGAGAAATGGCAGGGATGGACCACCAGCCCACCCCCACCATGACCCAAGAATCGCTGTGGGGGGCGGGTGAGTAGGGCAGTGAACTGCTAGATTGTCAGAGGTGGAAGCCACTTTGTAGGCCTCCAGGCTGGGGATTTTTATCTGAAGCCTATAAGAGCCCCCCCCACCCCCAATTATGGGAAAAATGTTGTGTCTGTATTTGGATATGCATTTTTCTAGGGAGGAGAGGTTCATGGGGCTCCTTAGATTCCTAAAGGAGTCCAAGGCCACCTCAAGATTAAACACCACCATGCTTGTGGGACAGACTGGTCAACTGAGTGAGGCTCAGGATTGAGTGATTGACCCCAGGTCACTCCGCTTGTAGTGGACAAGCCGGGGTGCTTCCATGGTGCATCCTGGCAAGGGTGTCTCACTGGGCCCTGTGGCTCAGTCAGTCTCAGGGTCCCAGAGTGGCCCAAGGCTGAGGAGGTAGGGGCGACTCAGAACAGAGGCCAAAGGCTGAGGTTCTGACCGAGGCTGGGGCTGTCCCAAGCAGCGGCTGGCCAGGAGCAGGGGCACCAGCTTTCATCTTTTGAGGGGCCAAGGTTTAGAGAAGCTGAGTCAATCCCATGGCGGGTGTCAGGGTGACCGTGGGCCAGAATCTGGATGGGGAGGAGGTCACAGGCAGAAAGGATGGGGGTGGGTGGGGTGTGGGGAAGGGGTTTCTGGCAAGAGAATGTTTCTGGCTCAGCAACATGGCCTGATGACGTGGAATGGGGACCCAGGGCTACAGAAAGTCAGCTTGGGGCAGGGGCCTTGGTGCCTGGGATCATCCCCCGGGAGCCTGGAAAAACACCCAGCCCTTGCCTTGCCATCTCCATGAGAAAATGGAGGCCCAGAGATGTCAAGTAACAGGCCAAGGCCAAACAGCTAGCTAGTGGCAGAGGCAGGACCAGTATTCCAGTCTCGGATTTCTTCCCTAGAAGCTGCCTCTTCAGTATCAGGCCTCCAAAGCAGGGCCTGGCGGAAGTGTGGCGGGTGACCCTGGGTAGGCCTGCGAGAGTCGGTGGTTACTGGGTCTGGAGAGAAGAGTAATTGATCAGCGAGCATTGACTCAGTCTCCACTGTGATGAGCTGGGCATAGAGATGGCTGCAGCTGCCTCCTAGGAGACTGCTGTCGCATCCTTGCTGGAGAGAGGATGCCTATTAATTTTTGCTTTTACTGTCACCAGGCTCCTGCCCTCTGTAGAAGGCGAAGAGGAAGACTGGGGAGGGGGTGGCTGCAGGGACGGGGTGGCAGGGCCGTTCCTGCCCCTCGTCTGGGACATCAGCGAGCTCTACTGTTGCCCTTCATAGCGGCCTTCTGGCTGGTCTCTGAGCCTGTGCCTCCTGGATCAAGCGAATGCTCAGCTCGAGTCTCTTGCCACATGGATGGTGGCGGCGCGGAGAGAGGTGTGTTTGTTCTGTCACGTGAGCTGCGCAAACAGCTTCCTCAGCGTTTTTATTAATAATTCAGCCCATGGTGAAGGGGGTAGGGTAGGGGGGACAGGAGTCCTTGGGAGACAGCAGCAATGAAGAGCAGGCCAGGTGGAGGCCAGAGGCGAACCAGGAGCCCTGCCTCCCAGCCGTGGCCTAGCAACGGAGCCGGGCGGCCTCAGGGGCCCTGTTTAGGAGAGTGCAGGCCTGGCATCTGCTCCTGAGGGACAGAATGTCCCTCCCTGCTTCGAGTCCCTCCCGAAGCCGACCCAGGACACCTGGCCCCTGATGACGGCACCAGATCGGAAACAGGCCTGAGGGGTCCACAGCCTGCAGTGTGGCAATCCTTGGGGAACCAGGCGCTGCCAGCATTTCTTGCCACGTCATGGAACCCAGGACACAGGGGGCCAGCAACGTCACCGAATGAGAGGGCCTCTCTGGGCCCCCCTCTGTTAGGGGCCAGAAGGAGAGAGGCAGGCCCTCAACCGGGAAAGGGTGGGACCTGAGGCCAGGAGAGGGTGACACCTGCCCAACTCTTTTCTCGGTGTACCTGCTCACTCCTGCAGACTTCATTTCCTGCCCTGCCCAGTCCTCTGTGAGTGCTCGGGAGATGGAAACTCACGGTTGGCTTGGTTCTCATTGATGCTCCAGCAGGAAAGAGTAGCCTTCAAATGCAGCAGAATGGTTTGAGGTTAGACATCTGGAAGAACTTCCCTGACAGGCAAAACATGGGAGTGGGGAGTATGTGCGTCTCTGTTAAGGATAAACAATAATAATGGCATTCAATATCTATCAAGTGTGCTCCAAGTATCATTTTAAGTGCTTCAACTGTATCATCTCATTTAATCTTTATAATAGTAGAAGGAGATAGGTACTATTATTGCTATTTTCTCCATTGTATGGATGAGGAAACCAAGGCCCAGAGATGTCAAGTAGTCTGCCCAGGGTCACATAGCTATGAACGACAGAACCACACAAATCTGCATTCTGTCATCTTTCCAGTGACTCTGCATCCCCCAGACAAAGTGACCAAGGCCCAGAGAAAAGGTGTCCTCGAAGCCTTTCCTGTGTCAATGATAAAGGCAGAGAATAAAACTCACCCAAGATGCCCAGTGCCTCAGAGCCTCAGTTTCCACAACTATACCTCATGGAGTTTATCTAGTACATCTGAGGGGCTGTCCTGCTCTGACATTCTGGAACAATGGCTATCTAAGACCTGCTGGGAGTGAATGAGGCTGGAATTTTTCTTTTTGTAAGGGACAGGCTGTAAGCTCTCGGATGGGAGCGAGCACTGGGTCTTCTCAGGAATCTCACAGTGGTTGGCGAAAGGCTGGGAGTCCGGATCAAGGGTTCTACTCCTGGTTCTCTCATCAGCCCCCTGGGCAGTCAGCTCTGGGGCCTTTAGCTCCCTGGATCAGTTTTTTCCCCTGTAGAGGCCTTGTCTTCACCATCTGTCACCTGAGGGGTAGCCTGGGTCGTCCCTCAGACATCCTCTTCCTGGCAACTCTGAAAAACTCCATGATTCGAGATGCTCTTGAAGACGTGTTGAGCTGTAATGATGAATTCTGTTGTCTCCCTCTGGACTCTCGGGTTGATGGGTGGGGAGATTCCTGAATAGGGCATCTTTCTGCCTCGTGTCCCGTTTGACAGGGGTGGGGGCGATGGGGTGACAGGGGTGGGGGTCGGAAGGGATGCACTGTTTGGTCTTTACTAGGGCACTGAGAGAGGCAGCTGAAGGAGGGAGCAGGAGCAAGCCGAGGCTGGAGACCCTGGTGTCCCAGCCGGTTGGCTCTGCTTTCTGGGGTTTGCCAAAAAGGGGTGTGTGGCGAACTCCTGGAGTCTCAGCTGCCTGCGGGGGTATGAAACCTAATGGCCCTTGACCAGGGGATAAGGGCTGAGATTTCTGGCCCCCGAGGAACTGTGAGCCAGAACCTACAGATGCCTTTTTTCCCTTCCATTTTTAATTAGAACATTTAATCCAAGGAAATCTGTTCTCCACCGGAACAGTCTTCATGGAGGTTTGCTTGGGGGAATTTCTTTATCTGTTTCTCAACCGGAAAAGCTGTGGGTGGAGGTGCGTGTGTGTGTAACAGTCTCCATGTGAGTTCAAGGGGATGGTGTGTGTGTGTGTGTGCTGGGGGAGACTTGAGACATAGGTTTGTCCCTCTGGGTGCTGGCTGCCTACTGCACTGTGGGAAGGTGGAGGTGTGGCTGGGTGTGAGCTGTGCGGTATAAAGTGAGTTCAGTGGATTTCTCGGGGTGGGAGTAGGAATCCTTGACTCTGGGAAGCCTGGCTCACCTTTGAACTGCATTCTCACTGGAGGGGATGGCAGGATGCTCCAGCAGGCCTGGGGGTTAGGTCCTCCTGCCTACCCCCTTCAGTTCAGGGTAGTGGCACGCCCTGTCACGTGTGAAGCTTCAGTGTCTGTCTCGTTGTGTGGGAGGTGTGTTTGTGTGCTTGTGTGTGTTGGGAGGGTGGTGTAGCTGATTAGGTGTGTAGGTGTGTGCCGGGAGGTCTCTGTACCTGAAACCATCAATGATTTTGTTCCAGGCCTTTCAAATCCTTGGGAGAAGGACCCCTTCTTCCCCCTGCCCCAGAGTCAAACAGTTCCAATTCTAGAGAAAGGAGAAATAGGGTTCACCTGATTTGGACTGTACTGAGCTGACAGAGGGCAGAAAGGGCCAAGGGGGCTCCAGGGTTGGAGGGTTAAGAGAGATTTCCTTTCTACCCACTGATGCTGGGGTCTAGGAAAAGGTGGTGGGGGGGGGGTGCGCAGTGGCGAGGTGCAGGAGAGGCATGAGCAGAGGCCGAAAGGTCTGTTTCCTTCTTTTGTGCGGCTGGGTTAAGTGGGGAGGGTTAGTGGACCTCGTCCCCCACCAAGGTGGCATCCTAGACTTTTCCGCTCCAGCTGTGTGCAAGCTCGGGGGATGGCCAGAGCGGCGGACCCAGTCTCGGCGCCGGCAAAAAAGAAATCCACTCCTTGTTTTCGCACACACCAGCCCGTCTTCCCGGGACCGCCGGGGTGCCGAGCCCAGAGCTGACGCCCTCGAGCCGCCACCCAGCGGAAAACCCGGAGTGGATTTCCACACCTTTTGGAGCGGAGTCAAAGGGCACCTCGGAGGAGGTGGCCGGCTCCGCGGCCCTGCCGGCTTCGAAGCGGCTGCCATCGGGGGCGCCCCGGCCGGGTTGGTCGCGCAGTGCGGCTCGTGGAGCCCAGCCGGAGAGCTCCGCGCCCTCCCCGCGGGGGCTGCGGGCGGGCGGGGCGCGGGGCGGCGGCGGTGCCCTCGGGGCGGCTCCGGGCGGCGGCGGGCGCGGGCTGCAGTGCGGCGCGCGGCCGGCAGCGGGCAGCAGCGGGCGCAGGCGGTGGCGCTGGCGGTGGCGGTGGCCTCGGCGCTCGGCAGCGGGCGGGCGGGCGGCGCCGGCGGTGCCCCGGGCGCGCTCACACACGCGCTCACACACACACATACACACGGCCTCGTACACACTCACACACGCTCCGGCGCGCACACGCGGCGCGCAGGCCGGAGGGAGGCGGCTCGGCGCGGCTCGGCGGCGGCGGCAGCGTGCTCGGCGGGCGGGCGGCAGGGCTGGCGGGCGGCCCCGCTCCCCGGCTCGGCGGCTCGGTGCAGCCCGCGCGGCCCCTGCCCTCGGACCCGCCCCCGGGGGTCGCCCGGCCCCATGCCCTGCAGCGGCGGCGGAGCAGCGCGCGGCCGCGGGCGGCTCTGAGGAGCCCGGAGGGAGCCGGCGACGAGGGGACCATGTACCGGGACCCGGAGGCGGCCAGCCCAGGTAAGCGCGGCCCCGCGCGGGCTGGGGCGCCCCGCTCCGGCGGGCAGGACGGCGGCAGCGCCCGGCGCCGTCTCGGAGCCCCAGCCCGGGGCTGCTGTCCGCCGGAGCCGCACGGACTGCCCCCGGGGTCATCGCAGCCCCGGGGGCGCGGGCTGGAGCGGCAGGCGCTCGGACCACGGCCCCCTGCAGTCCAGGCACTGCCGGGCTTGATGCCGGGCGCCGGCTTCGCAGTGTCCCCACAAGGACCTCCCCCCCACCCCCAGCAGCCCAAGGACAACGTGTGTGGCGGAGCGAGGAGCCGCTGCCCCCGCGGGAGCCGGGCAGTGCCCTCCGAGGCAACCCTGGGTCCCCAGCACCAGAGCCCCGGGGGTGCCAGCGCTGGGGGACCCCAAGGCAAGCATCCCGGGCAGCTTTTGGCCAAGGTTGTGGGCACAGGGGAGAGGAGTGACATCGGCAGTGCCAGCTGTGAATTGAGAGGGTGCCAGGGGGCAAGTGGGAATCTGGTGCAGCGGCCGGGGAGGGGGGCTTCTGGGGGCGGGGGTAACCGCAGGAGCGTTGAGGAGGGAGGCAGGAGTACTGAAGGGAGAGAGAGCAGAGACCGGTGAGAATCAGGGTGCCTGGGGAATGTTGTCCTGGGCTTGGGGAGGGGGGGAAGCAAAGAACCCCAAACTCACTCCAGTCCTGTCGGGGGAGGGAGGGGGAGGGGCCGCACTCCTTTGCATTTCTCCGGAGCGAGCCGAGCCGGAGCCGGAGCCCGAGCCGGGGAGTGGCCTGGGAGCCCACGTCTGCTTGGCATCCTCGAAGCCAAGCCCAGGAATCTTTCCTCCTTCCTCGGGAAATTGCTCTGCCATTTCCTCCTTGGCTCCTGACGCCTCCTCACACGGTGCCCACCTGTAGGCAGGTCCCCTGCAGCTCCTGCCCGGGCTCAGTCTTAGCTCCCACCTGGTGTGCCCCACCCCAGACCCAGCACCCCAAGTCTGCCAGTTCTGGCATCAGGGTCTCCATTTCTGGGTTTCTCTCTGATGCTCGACGCCCCAGCCTGAAGACTTGCTCCCAGATGAGGAACCTCGCCGCTTAATGCCTGCCGACCTGGGAGTGGGGGATGCTGGGGAGAGGGACAGCTCTAAGACCCTCCACAGAAGGGGCCCAGAGCCCAAGGCTTTTGAGGGCAGGCCAGTGGGCACCGTCTTTGCCCACTCCTGCCCCGGCCCCGCATTTACTCTTTCCATCTAGGGGCAGCCTCAGCCTCTCCCTGCCTCCTGAAGAGTCAGCTCTCACCACCCCCCCCCATCAAGTCATTGCAGCCCCAGTTCACTGAGGAGGACCTACTGGGTGCCAGGCATTGCACCCACTAAGCACTCAAGTATAAGGGTGAAAGAGACTCGGTCTCCCTCTCTGGAACCTCATGCTCATCCATGAATGTCCTTTGGGTGATGGCTGAAGGGACATTGCCCTCGTAGACTCCTCCTTTCATCTGTCTGGACCCAGGTCACCTGCGCTGGCATCTTCCCTCAGGAGGCTGCCAGCTGCCAGCACTTGGACCACAGGCAGAGGCACTCTCTTGCTGGGATCACCATCTCAGTAGCCAACAGCTTAGTTCAGAGACCAGCTCCGGGGGATGAGGATGGAAGGGGGGGATGCAGTGAGGACACTCCCCCACCCCTCTCCCTGCCAGGCTGGCAGCCTCCCCTTTCCTGTTAGGCCAGGGGCCTGGGGGCATGCCCTCATCCCGTCTCCCTCGCTCTTCCGCCTGGGCACCATGACATCACCGTTCCTCCAAGCATCTCTGCTCTCCACGGAGGCCAACTTGACATGCTTGGCATCTTCTGGGAGAAGGGTCTGGAACCCAGAGCTGCTGGCCCCCAGATCTTTCCCTCTCCCCCCTCCTCGAATAGCCCCCCCGTCTGGGGGGGAGACCTGTCTTGCCCACTCCAGCTGCAGCTGCATGGCCCCCCAGTGCCTGTGGCAGGGTTGGCCTGAGGTTTACTTCTCCCTGTTGTGGGCACTGGGCTGGGTGGGGTCAGAAATAGGCTGCAGAGAACAGAGTATGCTTTTGATCCTGGTCCCCTGGGGATCCTGAGGAGCCAGAGACCTCCATCTGGCCTCCGTGCCCCCTAGCATCCCTGCCCGCCTCCCATAATCCCTACAGCTCCAGGCCAGACTTCCACTTCCCCCACCCACTCACCCTAGGCCCTCCAGACTCTGCTCCCCTGGTCAGGGCTGTGTGTCCCCTGTTTCTGTTCCCCCATCTCGCTCTTGGCTGGCACCAGGTGGGAGTGAGATGTACAAATTAAGTCCTGCGTGATTCAGGCTGTCCTTCTGGCCCCCCAGCGACCAGTACCTTTTACATCCTGATCCGTTCATCTCACTCTCAGGAACACCTGTGGCCCAGTCCTTTAAAGAAAATTTGATCTCCTGTCTTCTCCTGCTCCTCCATGTCCCAGGCTGGTTCCAGAGGGTCCCTATGGGACACTCTCCGTCATCCCAGTCACTCTGAGTCCCCACAGGGCTCAGTCTATTGCTGAGACCCTTCCTCAGGGGGCAGTTCCCTCCCCACTTGGGCCCCTGATCCCCCCACGCAGCTCATTCCTTGCCCTATCCTGGCTGAGGCAAGGGACTGTGGGAAAAAGAGGGAAGACCAGCCCCCCCCCACACACACACACAAACCCCGATCGGCTTCTGCTCCAAACTGTGCCCAGCCTCCCCAGCCATGCCTGCAACCTCCCCTCCACCGCTCCCATAGACACGAGGCCCTCTCCTTGCCCTCAGCCTTCATCCTCCGTCCATCCTGAAGATGGCCTGGCCAGGCCTCCCTGTGTCCCTTGGACTGCCTGTCCCCAGGCCGGGCAGGGCCTTGGCAGGCCTGCAGGGGTCAGCGTTGCAGTGGGCAGGCAGGACGGCAGCAGGAAGGGAGGGAGGGAGAGGTGACCTTGCGGTGAGCTAGTGAGCAAGGCCAGAGAGGGAAAGTCTGGCTGGTGCAGGGGTGCCTGGGAGAGAGGTCAGGTCCTGAGGGCTGCCTCCCCTGCTCCCAGCCTTCTGTGAGCTTGTCCTTGGGGGCAGCAGGGCTCCAAGTCTCATCTGTCCCACCTGTTAGTGGGCTCTGCCCCCTAGAGCCACTCTACGGAGCAGGTCATTCTTAGGGCGTGTGGGGGACACACGGCATGGGACAGAGGTCCTTGACGCGGTGGGTCTCCTCTCTCAAGGCAGAAAGATCTACTAGATTGTGCAGGCCAGCCCTTCACCCACTGGCCACAAGTTAGGGGCAGAGGCTGTTGGGCAATGTGTGGGGCAGGATAGGGGGATGCCGTGAGGGCCATCAGGGTTAGGGACCCAGGCTCGGGTGTGGGACGGTCCAGGGAGGCCTGACTCTGTCTGACCATTTCGCTGACAAACTCTCCACCCACCCCAGCTACCCCTCCATCCCCCACCCCCTGCCCCCTCTGTGGCCTGCATCCTGGGCTTGGATCAGAGTGTGGGACCGATCCATGATCTTCCAACAGGCTGTGGCCCGGGCTGGGACCTGGGGCTGAGTAGGGCAGGAGGGATGGCTTCTGTGGGGCTTGGGCCAAGGTAGCCAGTGCCCCCAAGGCTGTAGTGTTTCCATGGAGACAGGACCCCTCCTTGGCCTTGGACCTTGCTGTTCAGTGGCCTTGTGAGAACAGCGTGACCAAGAAGCCGGGCGCTCAAGGATTGAGGGGTGGTGGGGAGAGAGACAGCCTCTGAGCCCCTCCTGGTTTGGGAAGGGGGACTAGAGCGGGCGGGATTGGGGTGGACACACAGGCTAGCAGGTGACAGGTGAGGGACACCTGAAGGCAGGGGAACAGGTGGGTGTCAGGTGAGCAAAGACAGGCCTTGGGCAGCTGGGCTTTGCCCCTGGCTGACCCCAAGCTCCAGCCCAAGGAGCTGAAGGCAGCATAGAGTGCCAGTGGAGGGCTGTCCCTGTCTTACCCCTCCAGCCCTGCTGTGGCAGGAGGTGTTGAGGTACCATGGGGGAGGAGTGGGTGGTTCCCCGTCCCCTTCCCTCCCCCACTCCCCACCCACCCACCCCCTATTCTCTCAGGGGCTTGCATCCTTATTGAATCTGATGGACCATTTTCCATAACTGCTGCCCCCAGGGGAGTGAGCCTGGAACAGCAGGGAGAGGAGTGGCGAGGGGGGCCTCGCGGGGGGCGGGAGGCCCCGTCCCGGAGCCGAGGACTCAGCTGGAAGAAGACTTCCTGCCCAGGCTCCATGGGCAGTGCCCACAGGTGGCACATGCAGCTGGTGAGGTCAGCTCTCTGTTGGGGCGGTCACCGGGCTGGCCAGGTGCCAGAGCCAGCCCGTGCCAGGCCCAGCCCGGGTGCCCGCCTGCCTTGCCAGGGAACCCCAGCTGGTGGTGCCAGGCGGATTGTGCCAGTTCCATAGCCATGGAAGTTCCTGACCTTCCAGGCAGCAGGGCAGCCTTGCTGGGCCCTGTCCAACTTGTGTCTAGAGGGCAGGCCTTTGGTCTCACCCAGCAGAATTCCCCAAGGGTTGGAATGGAGTTGGCAGACGGCATGGGACCTGTGGAAGGGGTTGGCTGGTGCCCAGAGCCAGCGCCTGGAATTCTGGACCCAGTGGGTTGGAAGATGGGATGGCACGTCGGGCCTGCGCTGGTGGGCTTTGCAGCTTCTACCCTGAAGGGCCCCTTGGAAGAGGTGTGTCGCCTGTGGGGTTGGGCAGGGAGCCGACTTGTACCGCGAGCTGGGATATTTGGGGAATTGATGTATTTGCGGGATTGAGGGTGTGGGGCCACAGGACCGGTGGAGAGGGAGGGCGGGGCCGGTGGGGAGAAGCACTGTGCTGTGTGGGTACCTCCGTGCGCACGCGGGTAGCAGGTGGACGGCCGTAATAGCCGCGCTCCTCTGAGCGCTGAGCCCGCGGTAAACAGCAGCTAATGAGTGTATTTGTAGCAAGGTGCGTCGAGGTGCGCAGGGAGCTCTGACAGAAAGCGTTGGGGAGGGCACCTCCCCTGGCCCTGT